CTCACACCTCCCTCTGCATTAGTAGCACAGCATTGAGCATTCCCATAATTTTTTTTTATGATTGGAACAAAATCACCTCCCAGGAAAGCAGCAGGAGCTCTGTGTTCACTTCCAGGATGATCCTCCTGGACAGACCATCAGCCCTGAGGTCGTTCCCTGGAATAGACTTGCTCAGAGACAAACTGCCTTCTCACTTCAGGAGAATTAAGTAACAATCCCTTATTTCTGGGTAAAACTTGCTTTCCTGGAACGTGTCCTGTCATTTCCCAGTGGCCACTGTGCTGTTTGAGGCTGATTCCCAAGGGAAGCCCTGGTTATCCCATCCCTGGAAGTGTCCAAGGCCAGGTTGGAGCAACCTGGGCTGGTGGAAGGTGTCCCTGCCCATGGCAAGAAGCTGGAACTGGATGATCTTTAAGGTCCCTTCCCACCCAAACCATTCCATGGTTTTGTGGATGATGTTGCTCCATGGAATTCCTTCAAACAGCTGGCAAACATCCTTCTGTTTTCCAACCCAGTTTAAAAGTTGAATACATAATATGGGATAATTTCCATGGAGGGACTTTTTCAGCACCTGATACTATTGACCTGTGGGATGGATGACCACTGGCAGAGAATTGACTTTACTTCCTCTCCAAGGATATATCAGACAGCAGATGCACTCCAGAGATGTTCTGCCTTTGGATAAGCTTTGGATAGCAGGAGCAGTGGATTCTGGGGACTCCAACCACTGCCCTCACAGCTCTCAAAACCTCCCGGGGGTGGCAGAGCTGTGGGACACCCAGCAGTGTCCTTATTGTCTCCACTTGTGATTTATCTGGTCAGACTGCAAGGCTGAGTTATTTATTTCCCCATGCCAAAACTGATGTTCCCCAGCTGGCAATCTGCAAGGAAATCATCTGTGTGATGGTGACTGGATAAATTAAGGTGCCCCAAACCTGAAATAAGTTTTAATTTACCTGATTGGTTTGATTTTAGGACGTGGTTGAGCCTTTTGTGCATGAGTGAGACAGAGAAAAAGTAAGAGTGGGAATCCAGGCAGGCTCCTAAATCCATATGAGCGTGTCAACACCTTCTTGTTCATTCACATGTTTACAGACAAACATTCAGCTTATTTACATCCCTCTAAATTCCTTCCCTTCCCATATAGATGGGATCAAACCAGCAAAAATGAAGACACGGGAAAGGTGACTCCCCTGGAGATTTTGGGGCGTTGGAAGAGCAAGATTTCAGCCTTCCCCCGGATTTTTGAAGCACAGAGACACGTGTTCCGTGCTTCCTGAGATGCTCAGCTGGAGATTTGCTGGGGAGAAGTCTCTTACATGGCTAAGGCAGAGCCCATCTCCTCCAATCCCCAAAATTTCCCAGGCTTGCTCGTCTGCTGGGAATCTGAGATCTCTGGAGGCAAATGCCACATATTTCCAGGCACTCAGGGAAGAGGAAGCTGAAAGAAAGCCCACCTGGCTTTACCAGAGAGTTCTGAAAGCCTCAAGGACCAGACTGGAGGCAGGACAGCCCCTGCAAATGCTTCATGTGACTGGTTTTGAATATCCCCAAAAAATTCCACCTCAGCAAAATGCTCCTGCTTTGTACAGGAAATGCATTTATATTCACCTGGAAAGTGCTGCTTGTCAAGGAATTGCTTTTAAATGTTCTATGTGTAATATTTACAGCAGAGGAAAACACTGTGGGGGCAGAGTTAACTGCAAAGTTATCCCAGCTCTGTTGGCTCTGTTGGCAGTAAAACAAATTATTCCAGCTCTGGAGCTGCACGGGGATGTTTCTCCTGGAAAGTCAGGTTGAAAGTACACAGATGATCCTCCATAGTTTAAGTAGTTAATTAAAACCTGCATTCACAAGCATCTAATTAAAGCTGCTCCTTGAAAATATCCCATCAGTATCTCAGGCATGAATTATTTCTCCAAATACAACCTGCCTGTTATGCAGGGGAGGGAAAATATCTGCTGGAGACTCAATCTGTTGGAAATGGTGGAAGATTTTAATATTTATAGAATATTCTGTGTGTAACAGAATGATGGAATCAGAGAAGGGTTTGCGTTGGAAGGGACATTAAAGATCATCCAGTGCCACCCCCTGCCATGGGCAGGGACACCTTCCATC